TGTAAAGTTTACCCTCATCGTAACTAATTAAGCACTACGCCATGAAGACGTATGGGAAAGGCCATATAGCCGTGGCATGGACAATGCAGAAAACGCAGTTCCATTATTGAGTAGCACAGACCACAGAAAACACAAGTCACATGATAGCTAAGTACTTTTGAAGCGTGACGTCATTGCGCCTATACTTAAGTGTGTTTACCGAGCCGTTGCCTGGAAACGGGTTGCATAACTTCGTTGTTCCATTTTTGGTGAGTGTATTACTTAGAAAGGATATTTCTGTGGCTCAAACCTTCTTGCATGGGGCAAATGCGCCACGGTATTTACTGTTTAGATACGTCGAAAGCATTTTGTAAACTTAATGCCGATTGTTTATTGATTCGCCAGGCCTAGGTATAATTCTGGCTTCTTGCAGACTTGGGTATCGTAACAATGAACAGCTGCATGTGAATAAAATGTTTATTTATTATAAAGGAAAAGTTTATCATACCTTCAATAATTCAATTTATACCTCCTTTTGCCGATCCCTCCTGTTAAGTTTAGGTTCTATACTTCCATGGCTTCTTTTGTATTGAAGGGAATGAATGGCAAATAAAAATGAAGACTATGTAAGATGAAAGCAGTCTCCTGGGGTTTGGCACCGTGTATATGTGGTGTTAACCGACGTTCCTCCGAAACGTCGGTTAACACCACATATACACGGTGCCAAATCCCAGAAGACTGCTTTCTTCAATGATGAAGACTTTTGCTCGTCTAAATACATGGACAGATTTATTTTATGAGACTATATAATATAATAAAACGTTGTTTCGAAGAAATGCTACATGTTTGTGGAAAGAAATATTGATAAATTACCAAGAAATGTCACTCTACATATGGGCGTGACCGAGTGCCGTTCGCGTATGCGGAAATGTGCAAATACGTGAAAGCCACCATTTTCTCGGCAGCAGTCACACAGCTTCACGAGAATTGAAAGCAATGACAGATGCTTCCTCCCAATTTGTTTCTATTGCCACAGCTGTTTCTGTGTGTTTTTCCCCCATAATTCTAATCTGACAAGACGCCTCCAGCCGTTTGTTACAATCCGAGTGTTACATGAGAAATTTGCTTTCTCTCGAGGATGATTTTTCTCAATATTTGGAGGCATTTCAGTTTTCGAGGCCCTGAACTGAAATTTGTTTATCCTGTGGGCCAATCCTGCGCTACATGAAACAGAATATTTTATTCGCTGCTCAGCTGTTCAAGATATTCCCCGCATTTTATGGAACCAGAAGTTCTATTATTGTGTTCACAACAGGTCACCGTTGGACTCTATCCTAAGCCAAATTAATGCGCTCCAAATCCTCACACACCATTTCGTTATGCCCTAGTTTAATATTATTCTCCCATTTCCTTCAGTTTCTAAGACCACTGCTTTTATTCTATCATGCGTACTACATGACCCACCTCTTTCATTTTTCACCTTAATAATATTCTGTGAATATTTCAATTATAAAATTTCTTACTATGTAATATTCTCTAGAAAGGACAACAACAGTATCACTTAGATTATTACTACTGCACCTTTGTTTACTTAAAGCAGTGGTTGATGGTATTAAAATAAAGGCATCGCTCCCTTTTTGCGTACAGAGCACAGCTTTAACTGCGCCTTGTCTAGTCCACACAATCAACAAACTCGCACGGTGAGTGGGCTCTGTGAGCCAAGATTAGAACTGAAGTAGCCTTTGTACAAACACGACCTCTTTCATCACGAACCTTTCGAGTGGATTGTTGTCATGGGCTTCTCTAACCAAGAAGCTCAGTTCTTGTTTGGAGTGGGCAGGTTAGAGCTGCTGTAACAGACAGATATAAGGGAATCCTACTTTGTGTCTTGATTGGGACAGCTGGATATCCTAGCCACGTTTCTTGCAGTTTCTTTCACCTAGACTGGCGGTTTCTTTATTGGTGCACATGCCATGCACCGACAGAATCACTTTGGAGTACTTGCATTAAAATCGTCACAGCCCAAGAAATCGAAGTATTCTTAATCAATTGATGTAGCATTTTTATCATTAGATGGCATCAAGTGTGCAAATCGGGTGACTACAATAAAGAATGATTTTTCTCATGAGATAGTTCTGCTGTTATTTGAAGATCGCTTGAGGAGTGTATTGTAGGGCGTTTTAGAAACTACCTATATCCCCACACAACCTTGATATTGTCATGTATAAGGGTTGTCGTGACTAGTAATAATGGGTCCTACATTTGATTATTTTGGTTCACTGGCATCTCTTTAAAATTACATTCAATTGTTACAGCTCACAATCAATCTTGACCGCCAAGACCTCCATTCTCCTTCTCGTTTTACGACTGACTGCAAACGTCCTTCGTTGTCCCCTATAAAACTTCGACAACGACCACTCACAGAAAACACAATGAGAAGTCTGTATCTTAGCAATTCCTCTATTGTTATAGAAACGGCAATTCTTCTGTTGTTGCCTACATCACCTTAAGAATGTGTTTAACGAATGTTGCTCAGCAATGGACTGTTCCAGATAATTGTCCCCGAAACGTGTTTTAACAAGCCGTTGTCTCGCAATGGAGCATTCCGTCACAATATTTTTAGTAAGTAATTATGTTGTGCAACTTAGAAATTAATGGCCACCATGCTCCAATTACCCCTTACTACATTCCTCGTTCATAATCACCTTCCGTCATTAGAATCTGGCGATCGCACGGAAGTGACTTACAAAGATCGCTGTATGTTACTAGATCACTATAGAACTTCGATACAAATCTAACAGAATACAACCACCACATCCAAGAAAACAGTAATTTTCATCGATCACCAGTGATAATTCGACGATTTCACAAACGTAATTTATTTTTCATAGTATTTTACGAATCAGATAATGAAAACCTTTTAAATTTGACAGGGTACTCTACTGAAATACATCTCTTGTTGCCTCAACTGTTACCTGACTAATTCGAGTTATCTGGGTAAATAAAGTGAACGGTCTTCTCCTCGCTTCGGACACTAAACATACTGGTCGTGTTTTTATATTTATCAATATCTTGGTGCTATTGTTGTGGCGTGCTGCTATAAGCCGGAACATCTTAACAGAGAAGGAGTCCATTGGTAGACAACGGCTTGTTGAATCACGTGGCAGGACAACAAGCTGGAACAGATCATTGCTGAGCAACGCTCGGTAAACAATGCCTAAAAGCCAGAATAGTGGAGCCAGACAACGAATTATCCATTTTGCTAGGCAAACGTTTAGGCACGTTTCCGAGACAACGCATATATGGGGGGCCGCAAACACAAGTCAAAATCAGGACTAAGCAGTTCCCGCTGCAACGAATACACTAGCAATCGGTGCATCGAACGGAACCCTTGAACAAGGCGTCTCCTAAGCCGTCCGACTGCAGAATAAAAGAGACCAAACAGAACAGAGGACAGATAGAGAAAATAGGATATACCCTTGTGGAGGCGGGTTTGAATACCTCCATCGTAACGCGAGTAGTAGGAGGCGACGAAATGCGAAGTCTCAAATTTGAGACAGTAATATATGGTCTCGAGTCCCAAGAGACTCTGACCCAAGAAAGACTGCGCCGGCAAGGACCAGCAGCATATACAAAAGATAGACCCGTCCTCTCGTCAGAGAGGGCGCCCACAAAAAAACAAGACCGTAACTGTCAAACAGTAATAAATATCTGGTCACAAGCCCCAGATGGGTGTTTTATGCCAAGATAGACTGGCCGACGGAACGTCGGTCGTAAAATGAGACTCAGAATAGATAGATAGAAAAAGATAAGTAGGAGAAAGAAAGTTAGGAAGCAAATGAGAGGAAAGAGTAGATATACGGAGATGTGATAAAGGCACGTGGCAGCACATGTTCCAGCAATGCAGATGCAACTTACACCAACGTATCGAATATCAGGTCTAAAATAAACATAAGCTAAAGGGGCCGCGCCATAGCTCAAGCAGTTAGTCGCTAGCTTCCCACCGCGGTGGCCCGGGTTCGATCCCGGGTCTGGTCAAGTGGGATTTGTGGTGGACAAAGTATCGCTGGGGCAGGTTTTCTCCGAGTACTTCGGTTTCCCTTGCCAACATTCATTCCACCAATCGCTCCACAATCACCCTCACCTATCATCTGGGGCTGGTACAATAGGCCAGAAGTGGTCGCAGTACAAGGGACTTAGTCCCGCCCCACTAGCAATAAAAAAAGAAAAAAAAAGCTAAATGTATATATTAGATCTATTACGCTAATGTAAGCAACATCAGTATCAATAAGAAGTCAATAAATTTTACGTATCACACCGTCATCCAGACTGTTCGGGAGTGGGAACGCCACCAACCACAAAACGTTTTTGAAAAGGGCATCGCGATGCTTCCAGAACGTTGGAAAAAATGTGTTGACTCCGGAGAGGGAGTACGTTGAAGACTGACATGTGCAAGTAACTGTTTGGCAATTTTGGTAAAAAAAAAAAATCAGTCCCGGTCATATTTGAACCACTTTGTATATATTTTTGCTTAGAATGACTGATAATATGACCCCTGGAATGCTGACTTTTCCTTCTGTGACACCCTGTGTTAATAATCTGGTATTGCAATCAGTCAGAATGTTTCATGGTAGGTGATTAAATCGGGTTGGAGCTGGTTGGAAGCAGAGTTAATACCGAAATGAACTGATGTCCTTCTCATTTTGTAGGGGAACAGTGCGCGCCTGCGCAGCTGTACCATATTATCGTATTCTGGATAAAAGTCTCGCATTTATGTATGTAGTCAACGGAGCAGGAATGTAGAGCAAGTACGTATTCGACTTATTGCAAATTTACGAATTTCGCTGATCAATTTGAGAATGTATAGGCTTCGCGTATGTGAAAATTGGTATTTTTTGTTTAGGTCGCGGTATAAAGTACACGTATTTATTATCTCTAACTTAAGGACTGGCTTAGATAACAGATTCTGTGTGCCCCGTTTTCAACGTATACCTGATGACTACAGTATGGGAGCGCTGTACCTGTATGGAAACGGGGCGGCCGGAGTGGAACCAATCGACGACGCGGGGTGGTCGAGAGCCCTGAGTGTAGGGCGCCGGTATAACGCACGTGAATGTCAGCGTGCTGCCCTGGTGTATGTACAGCTCTCGTGGTCCCATTATGCTCGCTGAAACAAACAAAATAATCATCATATTCCATCGCGCAATCTACAGATCACAATAATCCATGGTTTCCCGAGTTATAGATCGCGACAAACAGGATGTCACGACCTACTCCGAAGGAGATCGCTTAACTAACTAACCAGCTAACCCTCATGGAGTTGAATCCTTCTTGAGAAGCCGTCAGTCGCTCAGCTACTTAAGAATTTCCCCAAAATTTCATGGATTCATTACTGTGTTCACAAGAGCCCTCCGCTAGACCCAATACTTACTTACTCATGGAGCTGAGCCCTTCTTGAAGAGCCGCCCATTCTGCAGCCACTCAAGAAATTCCTAGCATTTTATGGAACCCGAAGGTTCATCACCGTGTTCACAAATGCCCTCCACTGGTCCCTATCCTGAGCCAGATGTATCCAGTCCACACCATCCCATCCTATCTCTCCAAGATCCCGCTAGACCCAATACTGAGCCAAATCAATCAAGTTCATGACACCTAATACTATTTCCCTAAAATCAATTTTAATATTACCCTACCACTTCCGTCTTGAGCTTCCTAGAATTTCCCACCAAAACCGTATATGAACTCCCATTCTCCCCTAACACGTGCTACTTATCCTGCCCATCTTCTTCATTTGATCATTCTAATTGAAGGGAAACTACGAAGTTCTCAAAAATGATGTGAACTCTATCTCTATACACGCACAGTTCTGGCAAGTCAGTAAGTACAGGGTGATTCGGAAAGATGGACACAATTTCAATTGGCTATATTTTCTGAATTATATATTGCATTTGAATTCTGTAAATTACACTTGATTATACATACATGGAAGTTTATAGATGTTCAATGTGCCCCCCCTCCTCCGGCTGCACGGATAACATCTAGACGGTAGCTGAATTTATCCTACACTCGATGACAAATATCTTGCGTCACTGAGTTCACCGCAGCTGTGATACAGTTTCTTAGGTCACTCAAATTTGTGGAAAGAGGTGGTACACGCCACACAGTTGTTTGCGATAGTCCAAGTTCTCTACTAGCACTACGGGTTGACTTCATTGGGCTGCGCTCAAAGTTCACTCGAATGCACTCCACGTTCTCCTCCGATACACGCGATCGGCCCGGGACGCAGTGATGGAGGGCACTAGCGGTAGTACTAGAAACTTTGTAACATCCTCTTTCAAATGTACTTTACAGAATTCAAATGCAACATACAGTTCAGGAAATATAGTCAATTGAAATTGTGTCCATCTTTCTCAATCACTCTGTAAATAAGAATGAGTATGGCCGTCCCATGGCTCGAGCCGTTAGTCAGCGGCGGCCCGAGTTTGACCCGAGGTCAGGACATGTGAAATTTGTAGTAGATTAAGTGGTACCGGGGCAAGTTCTCTCCGACTACTTCGACTGCTGCCAATTCCCATTCCACTGACTGCTCCATACTCGTCAGTCATCCGAGGTTGGTACAATAGGGTCAATAGTGGCCGGGGTACCGTTCTACATCTCATCTACACAAGGGATCTACCGAAATCAGAAAACACAACAGTCGCTAACTTTGCTGATGATACAACGATATTGACAACACATGAAGATCCAGCGATAACCTCAAGGAAACTCCAAGACACCATCAATAAGATCAACAACTGATCAGAGAAATGAAGAATTGAATTAAATTAAAGTAAACCAACGCATTTTATTTGTTTTCCGCAATAAAAATTGTTCAACATTGCAGATGGTAATGCCGCTCTCTCCCGAGAAAGTGAAGTAATATAAAAAGCATTTTGATAGAAGGTTGACATGGATAAAACACATCAAAACTAAAAAAAAACCAGCAGAACCTAAAAACGAAACAAATGCACTGACTACTCGGGAGTTCAACAATAGCTAAGGATGAGGACTGGTAACTTTTCTGGATGAATTTTTAATCGATATTTTACTATTTCTTATAAATTTGAAATTACATTTTTACTTAATTAATGCATGTGGAATAAATTCAAAATATTCTGCGTAATGGGCCACAGTTTGTACTATGGAGAATGGGGGGGGGGATTGGGGTGAATTTCGTACCGTGGACCACGTGACGATCGTTAAGTATAAATTTTTATAGCTATTATATATGAGAAAAGGAGCGGCCTTACCTTTGTTTATCCTTGCAGAACAAAACGTTTATTTGTCAGTTTATGACCTATATACCGAAGCTTGGGTTATCTCAGGCTATACATACATTTTCTTTCTTTGGCGCTACAGCCCCAATTTGTGCCTTGGCCTACCTCCGTGAAAATCTCCGTTTCACTTCGGTTTACCAGATCTTAGACATTCGATAGGACTCCTTGTGTGGGTGACCAGCTTGTCGCAAGGCCTCTACCTGGACACAGACACAGAAGAACGCACACACACACACACACACACACACAAACACTGAACATTCATGCCCTGTGTGGGATTCGAACTCATTATCCCTGCTTCCGAGCAAGGGAAGAGAATGCCTGCCTGTCTTAGAGGGCTCGGTTACAATGACCGGTATATATATATTAGGATCAGTAAATAATTAATTGAAAGACATTCGGAAGGAATTGGTCGTGATGATCTGAAGTACTGTCCCCGTATTTACTTGGAGGATTGAGGAACGAAGACCACCAAGAACGTCAGTGAAGATAGCGGATCTCCGGAGCAAGATTTTAACCTGGGACCCCTTGAGTACGGAGCAGAAATACTACTCGGTCGTTCGCCAAGGTTCAGTAGCACAAATTTTCATTAATAAGAGTACCACAATATGTTATTATAACCGCGACTGGTATAAATCATTGCATAAAACTAATCCGAAATCATTGCAGTTTCAGCTCAAATTCCCATAATACTGTGGACGTTAGTGTGTGGCTTAATATAATTTGAATTATTTTCAAAATCGTCTCATATTGCTTTCATTTTACATGTGAACAATTAATATTTATTGCCGTCACTGTTCCGTTCCAGCTATCTCCAAACTGTACAAAGGACCACACAAGAGTCACTTACGTTCCTCCAAGTCCAGCCCGTCCTTAAAGTGTGGTGTGAGATCAGTTCAAAAGTAAAAGAGCCGAGTTTTCCGAGTGTTGAATCAATTTCTTCACCACGCCATGAAGAAGTACGGGGGAGTGCAGTTATACTTTCGCCGTTCTTGAACTTTTCACCAGATTGAGGTGAGAGGTCAACTTTACGCACGTGCCGCATTATTCCCGCAGATGGAGCCCCAGATGCCCTCTGTATTGAAGGCTGGGTGGGCCCCAGAGCCAGTCTAGTTACTGAAGAGTTTAGAAAAGTTACTTGCCTCTTTCGGGAATCGATACCCGGCCTTCTATTCCGTAGCCCGTTGCTATGTCGGTTGAGTGTACAGAGGATATATGTATACATATATGCATATACTTTTCCCCTTGGCACTACAGCCCCAGTGAGCCTAGGCCTACCTCCATGGTCTTCTCCGTTCACTTCGGTTTCTCTAGATGTTACACATTCGGTAGAACTCCTTGGACGGGTGATCAGCTCGTCGCAAGGATATATATATTGTAATGCACCTCAACTTCACGCCTCGACCAATTTACCCCTAGGGAGAAATCCCACAATACCCGTTGGGTTGGAGGCTGGGTGGGCCACAGAGCCGGTCTAAACACTGTTGACTATAGAAAAATTACTTTCCTCTCCCTCGAATCGAACCCCATGGCTTCCATCCCATAACTCGTCGTTATACCGACTATGCTGTCAAGAGAAATATGTATATACTCGTATGCAGGGTTATTCATAGTAAGTCTGTGATACATTTTGAAAATTTACAATAAATAAACTACGCAAAAAATACCAAATTTTCTTACGCTGAAATAGAGAAAAATTCACCAGGATTCTTTTTACATAGTTCATAGATGCTCAATGTATCTAACTTCGGTGATACGCAGACATCTATGCGATAACCCATGTCGCCCCACGCCCGTGTCAGCATATCACGGTTGAGCAGAGCAAAAGCAGAGGTGATACGGTTGGGAAGATCCATGAGATTAGGAGGTAATTGAAAAAAAAAAACTTGGAGAGAATCATTCTCCATTGACATAAGAATTGTCATGATCCGATGAATAGTTTATTTGTTGTGAATTTTTAAAATGTTTCACGGACTTATGAATAACCCCGTGTATATACCACTTACTATAGCTGGCTGCACAAAATTGCACGGAGTAAAGATGCATAATTTTTATTTTCACTCTTCTCCAGATGTGATTAGGATATGAAATCAAGAAACATGAGATGGGCAGGGCATGTGGACGGCATGGTATCATGTGTGGACTCGATTAATCTCAAAATGAATTGTGAAAATATTAGCGAACCTTCGGATTCCATAAAGCTATGGGAATTTCTCGAGCAACTGACCAAATATTAACTTCTCTATTCTGAATCTGATCCACGGAATAAGGAAGTTTATTATTTGCACAGACCAAGAATTTCGAGGCCTCGTCAGGAGAAGTGTACCTGGAAACTAGTACTTAAATTTTGTAAATACATTTTTTATTTAATTGAATTTTGGTGACAGAATTGATTTTGTGTTCGGGTCAGTACATTCACTAGAACACCATGAGGCCTATAGGCTTCCGGTTCCTCGTCCCTTCTTCTCGAAAATGTCTGAAATATGTATCATGTTCTCCTTACTCAATACGTTTTGGTTAATTTAAAGCGGCATTCAAGTCATTCGTGCTACAAAACCAGTTTAACATGTCTGTAGTAATATTACAAGTCATTACCTCGATAATAGGGCTTCAGTCTGGCGCCATCATCAGGAGCTTGTGGTAACATGTGTGCTCCTTACAAGCGATATATACAAGCTGCTGATGAACGTGGCAAAACACGGTTCATTATCATTTCCGCTGATATTACAATTACCTTGTGTGACGTGACATGATGTATGATTCAGCCCGGATAGTTGTGTTACAATGGTATTTTATCTACTGAGAAATGAAACATTTTACATTCTCACAACGGTGACTGTGGAATTTACTGTTTTTTTTTTGGTGGGGTGAATGGGTGATGAAAGTTAGTATCTTTTATCATTTCCAAAGTTTCGGAAGAAACTTCTACATGTTTGCCCTCTGAAGATGGTCCACAGAGACCGAAACATGTGAGGGTGTTAAGTTTTCATGTACTAATAAACTTACAGGTCACATTGGATGGAGTGATTTATATTTGTAATTGTCAGTGTGACGGACCAGAATGAAACAAATAAAATTTAATTAATCCGTTCGATAGAGTTGGGATTCTAATATACTTATCAGTCCGCATGAACTGATAGGCTTGGAGCAAGTTCGGTACGTGAGGGTCACTGCATCGCACGTACACAAAGCGGACCAAGTAATGGAAGATCTGAAACACATTCCGAAGCTCGGTGTGGCATGCATTTTGAAAGTTCTTGTTTGTCGTCTTTAATATCATTTCCGAGCATAAATGACACAAATGTACTGCCAATGAAACAGCTGTTAGTTACTGTTGATGTGTCTTTGGTACAGTAGTCAGAGCTTAATACTGCAGTCTCGAATCTCAGATGAAAGTGTTCCGAGTCATGCGTAAATTATTAACATTCATGACGCTATCGCCGTGTTCCAGTCTTTGGAATTCTACTGTAAGCTGTCCTAAAAGCCACAGAGCAAATTAAACTCTTTCATCTAATCCTAGCAGAGATGTCTTTGGATTAATCAGGAGAAAAATCCAGGGAGAAGCTATGATAGAGATTATGATGCATATTTTAACTAAGCAGTTCCTTTAACGATTATGGAAGCTAATCCAAAATGTAGTCATAATGAAAGTTGGGCTAAATTTATAATTGTAATAATAATTGTAATAATAATAATAATAATAATAATAATAGTAATAATAATAATAAATATATCTTTATGAAGAGCTTAATTTTTGACCTTATAATTCAAACGAACTTAATATTAGCACTCTGAATGAATGAAACGAGAAATACACAGAAAAATTTAGTTGGAAAACCTGAAGCCGAGAGACCACTTAAAAGATCTAGTCATAGACGGGATTGTAAGAGTCTATAAAAATGGATCTCACTCTCTTTAGAGCGGTTACTAAATATACCACCGGCATTAATATTAAAATACTCTGCATTTTGCCCACAGAATTCATTTACGTGTTTACTTTGTCACGTGTTACATTGTCTCTCGACGGGGTTTAGGAATGGAGGCTGGAATTATTGACCACTTTAACACACTGCTCGTGACTACACTTCGCTATAACAGTCTCACTGAATTAAACACTCCAAATATCACTGTAACTAAAACACACATAAAGTCTTCTCAGACTTCATTTGTCGTTTCCTGGTAACGGATTTTAATACTGTCCCCTTACGTCCTTACTTTCTGCGACATATCTCACTGCTGAACTCAATGCAACGACGTTCTTCTTCACAGATTCCTTGCAATTTTCTCAGTGCTTCAACTGACTAACTCCCAGACAGGCGGCCATTTCACATCAGTCTCCTAGTCTTCTCTTCACAGACTGACTTTCAACTAACTCAGCTCAAAGTCAAAGCCACATTGTGACTGACGGTCAGTCAGTCAGTCAATCTTGGTGTCAAGCCTCATATGGAGCTCATGACCCGATATTTATTACAGTTTAACAGTTACGGTCTTGTTTTGTTGGGCGCCCTCTCTGACAAGTGGACTGGTCTGTCTTTTATACATGGTGTTGGTCCTTGCCAGCGCAGTCTTTCTCCGGTCAGAGTCCCTTGAGACTCGGGACCATATTTTACTGTCTCAGATTTGAGACTTCCTTGTTAGTCGCCCCCTACGACTCGCAAGATCACAGTGGAGGTATTCGACCCCGTCTCCACACGGGGAAGTAACTCAGCTCTAAACTTCTTCCCGCTTTCGACCTCTCGGCACGGACCAAGTAGAAAACACAGATCTTCTATTGTTGTAGTTCAACTGTTGCTGCAGATACTTGTTTACCGTTCCGTTGCGTAGCATTAAAGTCGGTATCCGAAGAATACGAACATTTCAGCTCAAAAATGAGCATTTTCTCCAAAAATGTACGAAATATTTCGATCATATTTCAGTATTTTATGGCGACTCTTTAAATTAAGCTGTTTAGTTAGTATCTTCAGGAAAATAAGGATGCGAACTAGGAACCCAAGCTCGAAACGTTGATATCGAAACTAGTTTTAACTGCCAGAAGGTTTCCAGTCTTGATCTGTATATAGCAACCTACAGTGACCTACCCAGCAGCAGAAATTAATACCCTATCCAGGGTTAAAAGATATAGCGTTAAGAGCCCACCTTGCGATATGCACCAATGAGAGATGCCCTAGGATAAATATTTTCCAAGACTGAATATAAGATTACGTGAACGAACTGGGACAACAGTTAGGATTAATAAAACAAATAAAATCACAAAAACATTACTTAATTATTCTCCTAGAGGAAGGCGATACTTTGACAGACCAAGAAAAAGATGGTCTTCACACTAGTCTTGAGTCGGAACAGGTCAGAGACCTATCCCGTGCTGATAGTGATGATCATAATGATGATGAAATGCATACAGACGGTGATAATGGAAATATCTGAGGTTATGACAGACAATTATAGTGATCAAAAATATGTAGTTATGCATATAAAGTTATGTGCAACGATTGGTGATTCCTGCTAGAATGTGTATACGGATGGAAGACTTTGAAGATGATAGATTTCTAAATTATATCCATAAAAAGTCTGGAAATTTTTGAGTAGCTGCACAACTGGCTCATCTCCATGGATTTAGTGTGTTATTATAATATATTCCGTTGATCATAGGCTGATCAGTTTTTGACTGAAAGCCGAGTCTGAATCACCGAACCATTGGTTAAAATGTCCGAAGAGAAACTTACCTGTAGCCGCGACGGAGACGGCCTCGTCCCCCGAGGCGACTGGAGGTCCTTCGTCCCATGGAGAATCCCCCATATCCGTCTCTGTAAACATAAAACAGGAACAATGTAAATATTCCAAGGCAGTGGGATAGACCCCAGGATAAGCAACACGTATAATAGGTACTACTTATGTGAAACTCGGAGAATTTATTGCTAAATATGCTGCATACACACCTGAGGATATTTTCAGTCTTCCAATTTCCCATAAAGGATTCTTCTTTTTAAGGACACACCCAGGCATTCTACAAAAACTGCTAAGCATGTATTTCACCCTGGCTTGGATTACCTGGGATCTTAATTATGTATGTGGAGATAGCCCTTTAGTGATGAGGCGAGCGGATGCTGTTCTGTTCAGGTGAATGCTGAGCCGCTGGGCAAGGCATCGTTTGGGGTGAGTTAGCTCACATTATGATCTCTATTAAATGTAAATGTGATACAGACCAAAGTCTGTCGTGACTTGGGACGCCCAGGAGAAGAGATTCGAACTAAAGACTGCTGGTGAAACTGACAGAATGACTGCCCTTTCTGAATGTTTGAAGATGTATCCTCTTTGTCCTATTTTTTAGGAGATTTATAAATGCTTCAGTAAAGAAATTCCCGTGACTTGGCGTAACAAAGTTCTTCCTGTTTCTCTTCCCTCAAGGAGCTTTATCTCGGCATTAAATTATTTGCTCCATTCCAAAGGCTGTTGGAAATATATTTGTTTACTTGACCTGTCTGGTCGCAATATCCGGTGTCCCTTTGTCCCAGCATCTACTTTATTATTTCCCATGATAACCATATAACAACTTCCTTGCCAATAAATTTCTAGATATCACTAATAATTTTGACAGTGGTCTAGATTTTCAACATGTGGTTCGCAACCCGCAGATACGACTCATATATATATATATACAGTGGAAATAAAAATATCCGTAATGGGGATTATTGAATTATGTTCATTCCAAAGTCTTTAAGTAACAAATTAATTATATGACGCAGGTTCCTTTTCGAGAAGCTGTTATTAGGTAACTCTCAGCCGATATTTATTAATTATTACTTTTTATGGAACAAGGTCAATTAAACGTATAGGCACGTACATTTCAACAAATGATATGAAATTACTGAAATCCATTACAGGGTGTTCAACCGTTCACAGCACACCGGCTGTTCTATGTACCGCCTTTTTAACATTAAACATGTCTGAATTTTTTCTACAGACTATATTCATGGGTTTTTTAATGATTGTCATAATAAAAGACAATTATTTTCCTAGTCAGCACCGTCCAGTTGCTGCTTCTAATGGAAAGGCAGTGTAATTCCTCCTGAGGTAGGAACTGAATTCGTCTGTTCGTGTCAGTGTTTGCAAGTCGGTCTCTTCAAGTTTTATGCTCTCCACACTCTGTGCTGCCCTGACGTAAACACTACCCATAAATAGCGAGCTTTTAAATTTTTGCTACATTGTGCCCAGAAATACTGAACATCATGATCTGAAAGCAACGTGGCAATTTTCTAATGATAAAGTATATGAAAATGCTTCGCCTTGAAACCACTGTTTTCGTAGAGAATGTTTGTACAGTTAACTCAGGTGTATCATCCACTTATTTTTTTCAGCCAACTAACTCCAAGGGGTTGGATCTGTATTGAGAAGCTAAAGGTTTATCAGCCGGTCACGGCAGCCGAGCGGTCTAAGGCATGCACTGTCTTCGCTCGCTCGGAAGCCGGAATCGTGGGTTCGAATCTCGCTCAGGCCATGGATGTTTGGTGTGCGTTTTTCTGTGTTTGTGTACAGTGTACGAGCTGATCACCCGCCCAAGGAGTCCTACCGAATGTGTAAGATCTAGTAAACCGAAATGAACGGAGAATTTCATGGAAGTAGGCCTAGGCCCAAAGGAGGGCTGTAGCGCCAAAGGAGGAGAAGGGTTGATCAACTTCTAAATGAATTACTAGCATTTCATGGAACCACGAAGTTCATCACTAAGTACACATCCACTCAATACCGTTCTGGCCTGCATCTTTATAAGGTCCATTTTAGTTTTATCATGCTCTCGGCGGGAGAGATGTCCCGATGTTCTGGAGAAAGAAGTTGCCTCCATCTTCAGAGAAATGTTTTCTCGGAAGATGGAGGTAGCACATGTCCTAAACGTTTACTTATATCTATCGAACTACACTATGTCACATCAAATAAGACAGTTCATAGTTACCTTCATGAGAATTTCAAAGCTCCCTCCAATTATACATGTTAAAAACTGTTGATACGAAAATCCCATTGAGCAAGGTCAGTCATTTAAATTCGTAACTTAGAAATCTTGGCTTTTACGGTGAAGGATATTTGACCTTTTCTTGCATGACCAACTCGATGGGACGCCTTGCAGTGGAGACAAGGTACCCATTCTTGAGGCAGTGATAAAAGTATTGTTTTCACAAATTTGTGACAATAAGAGGCCTTGTATTGGGGCTGGCTAAGACCACCACAAGACCTCTGTCAAAATGTGACAACAAGGAGAATCAGGGTACTTATTCGTGCTACAAGCGGAATTCAAATTCACTCTTCCTGTACATGCAAGAGAGCTTAATCACCGAGCACATTCTGACCACATTTATTTACTGATGGCCAGATAAAATATAATTGTCGTCCCACGGGACGAGAAATTACACCTTTCTTCCAAATTAAAAGCCCATCAATTTCTTATAACTCTGTCATAACGTGAATGATTCAGCCAATGTTATCGAAAGCGTCATCTGTTTCGTAATCCTTAAGATAACTCTGTTGTATTGTATTGCATGTTTCGATTACTGCAAGTTAATGGTCACGACAATAAATGAAGAAGAGAACTGAATTTTAAGTTAGCAGAAGAATGAGAAGGGCTTTAAATGTGCCCCCCTGAAATCTTTTCTCTCCAGGTGGCCAGTTTGAGCGTCTGTGCTCTCCTACTTCTCCCGAATTCAGTTCAGTGTAGCACAACAAAATGTCACCGAAACAAGAAACTTCCCACCATGGATAAATTCCGAGGATATGAGAACTGAAATTCTTATGACGACAGGAATGAAGATTACAATCTTCTGGAATATGACGTAGTGTAATTTAATGGGAGTGATATTCCGGAAACAGTAATCTTCACGCAGAATTTGAGGTTCCCACAACAGTGGTTATGAGTTCTTTCTTCTGAGATATAACACCGCGTACTCCGTTCAAACTGAGCCGAAGTTTAGGAGGAAAATTCCCGAAATATCAGTTGACTTTCAATGAATTACACGACGTCATACAGCAGAAAATGGTTTAAAGAGCCCTCAATAATCTTCATTTCTAACACGCTCATCCCTACAGAACTGCATGGCAACCACTGTGTGCAACCCTGGAGTGTGATATGTTGCCGCCGATGAATGTAGGACCTACGATTGGAGTCTATGAGTCATTCTTCTGTAACAAGCGAATGAGACTGAAACTTATAAACATACGCGCATTGTATATGGATACCGGATACAAGGCCTCCCTTCTGTAAATTCCCGTGTTTCTATTATAACTGTCTAATATTAGGTTGCTTTTCCATCAATTGGGGCACGCGCCTGTCGCCCGGAGAAGCAAAACTTCCCTTTGCCATGACGGTTGGACGGATCATGTAACCGTACACCTCGCAGCCTTCTACGTTTCCTCACTATTTTGTATTTCACTACAGGGAAGCGATTGTAACTGCGGTTTGTAAGGGTGAGGGAACAATTCAAGAAAACAAACACAAGATATTCAATATTCTGCGGTTTCAAATACGTACATAAGTTATGTTCTTTCTTAAGTTTATCTTAAACTATATAACTTATAGGCTATTACGGTAGTAGGCCAGTGATATTCAGCATTTCGTCTTTGCGTGCATAATTCGTTAAGTCAAAACACTGTAGTTACACTGCAGTGAAATGAACATTTTACTCGTAGTATTTTACTAAATATAAAGGAAAATTTGATTTTGAAGACCTCACATCCCACACAACTGAACGTCAGATTCCACCAGTGGGATACGTACCACCGTTTGGGATACAATATGGTAGGCTACTGAGTACGTTATATGTACACAATACAATCTTCAGTGTAGCTACATAACACGTATCAGTTGAATCGCCACTTAGCCCACGCTTTCATTTAAATTCAACGAAGTGTTTCGGCCACATAGGGCCATCAAGAGGTATGTATAGTGATGACGTAAATTGTTATACTCTATTGTTATCTATTTTATATTCCGTGAGGGCTGTACACGTGAAAAGCTTTTTATTTAAACCAATTTGTTACCTGTCAAAAACGTATTGTATAGGACGATTTTAAGCAAATAAATATTATGTAAAATTATGTTTCGCGTGTCTCAATGCAGTGTAACAACTAAAGCGAATTATCATATGTACCTGATGGTGGCCCTCCGTGGCTGAAACTTATCGCTGAATTTACATGAAAGGATTGACTAAGTTGTCATTCAACCAATAATTTCTGAAACCGCATTGAGGTCTGTGTTTTGAGCATGTTGTGTATATAAATATGTTGTGACATTACGCCCGGAAGTCGGAAGAGTGAAGCCAGAATAGACGTTAATTGCTAGGCAATGCCTCGGTGGGCGTATTCCAGCGAGAACGAATATGCAAGCAACAACGGCATAACTTCCATTGTTATGCAACGGTGCGGTAAACAAGTCTCGCCAACAGTACAGACTATGTTTTCTGCACGGTCTGTGCCGAGGAATTATGTTGATATTTGGAGCTATAGGTTAATTGAGGGTTCAGTTTTGGAGCGTTAACCAGCGGGCAAAGGAAGGTGAAGAATCTCCAGTACTAAGATTCGTTATTAGGAAACATCTAGAGAAAACACTGCAGAGGCATAGCCATTGTAGAAAGCGGTTACCAAGTAAAGACTAGTGAAACTAGACTGAGAACACTAAGTGTGGGCTGATTTACCTACCTACCTACCTATGGATCTAAAGCCCTTTATTGGGCCTTGGTCTTTCTTTAAGTTTCTTGTCCTTATGCACAGTCGGTAGAATTCCTTGTACAAGTGATCAGCCGGTCGCAAGGCCGCTACCTAAACACAGGACAGCACAAGCACAGAATAAACCCAAACAGACATCCATGCCTTTATTGGGATTCGAACTCACGATCCAAGTGTTCAAGCGGGCGAAGACGGTCCATGCCCTAGACCATGCTGCCACTGTGGTCGCATAGTGTGGTTAATTTGCAGTATGGAAATAAGCAATATTATAGTTATTTGTAGTTACGACCTGTGAGTGGTCAATAAATATATTCACCGAAACAAACCCCGTATGTAGCTATATATATGTATATCATGCGATCAACTAATGCAGCAGGATGCTTAAATAAATATTAGAGGGAAATAAAATTTATACAGGTGAAGAGTTAAAATAATAGAAGAATATAAGATATGAATTTTCCCGGATTGAAAAATGGAAGAATATGTTGAAAATTTTACAGAGAATCGAAATTATTTCTTTATTTATCGCGGAGCAGGCTGTACAGTAGCTCAAGCCTTTAGTCGCCGCTTCCCAACATAGTTACTTGTGATCGATCCTAAGTCAAGTCATGTGGGATTTGTGGTGGACAAAGTGGTACTGGGTCTGCTTATTTTACGAGTCCTTCGATTTCCCCTGTCAATTCTCATTCCGCCAACTGCTGCACTTTTATTAATCATCCTTTCATCGAAGCCGCATAATGTCGTTGTAGGGAAATGGTGTCAGATAACGGACTTAGGAAATTACGGAGCAATGCAAGATGCAGACGCCATCTAGCGAGTATTAAAGGTAAAAAGAGATAAATTTGTTCCTGTGCTTAATTAATCATCATGCCATGAGCTTGAATGAGTGAGTGGATGTACAGCAAAATGGATTTTAACCTCGGTACAATACGGAGTATAATGGGCAGCTTCACGTCCCGGCTGCAGAGCCCACTGTACCCCCTGGATTAGAGGCTACGTCGTCCCCAGAGCCGGTATGGATGCACTGAAGAAGAGAGGAGCATCTTGTCTCTGCCCGATATCAAACACTGATTCCTAAGTCGTCCAGTCACTAATCTACTCTGTGCGCTGACCGAGTTATCCCGGCTCCAGCATTGAAACTGGTCTCGCAAAAAAGTTTGACCCCTTAAACTATTTTCTTTATACTCAACTTAATATTCCATTAATTACAATCTTGAATGAATATGTGCTATATACCGTGTAACTCGAACATTCATCACTTTATCAATGAAACTTGTTCGAGTAGCCGAACTCTTCATATACACACGGTTTATTAATTATTAATAATTAAAGAATTAAAGAAACATTAATATGTATGTGTTAATTATGTTTCAGATATCGGTGTTAATGCACAGCTCCTCCCATTTCTTGGAACCTGAAGTTAATTTTTATCGTTTTAAGTTGAATAGTATAGCCATTTAAAAAAGATGAAACAGGCAGACCTTTAGAAATCCACACCAAGGCGCAAGAATACAATCTCACGCAAGGTCTGCTCGAAGAATCAAAATTAGCCTAACATGCATAAGAAGAATGCCACAAAATATTGTGCGTATGGACCCGTTACTTTACAAAGAGTTCGAAACAACGAGAGAAGAGCCATTCATATACAACAGCATGGTAAACACGCCTCTACAACAATAAAGTTACTGTCGGAAACGGTGTTATGCATTCCCGTTGCTAGGCAGCTGCAACAACTAGATTACAAGAATGGAAACGGGGTTGTTTCCTATGTGGTCCGTGACGAGGTGACATCTTGAAGAAAATTGAGGCTATCCAGTTAGTAGTAACTTTGACTTCGAGCCAGTTAGTGGTCAGTTGCCAGCCGACGGATAGTTGCCAGTTGAAAATCAGCCTGTGAAGAGAAAACTAGGAGGTTACTGCGTAATGGCAGCCAGCCTGGGATTTTTTTTTTCACTTAGTGGGGGGTGGAGTCCAACTGAGTCCACTCGGCACGGCGGTCATTGATTGACCTATGTACCTGCCCCGGGTGACTATGATGATGGAGACTTTAGTGGAATGAAGATTTGTAGGGGAAACCGAAGTACTTGGATAAAACCCGCCCCAACCACACTTTGTCCACCACAAATCCCATTTGACCAGACCCGGGACAGAACCCGGGACGCCGCGGTGGGAAGCCAGCGACTAACCGCTTGAGCTATGGCGCGGCCATCCTAGTAGTTAGTTGAGAACTGAGTTCTGGGATGCTGTGAAGAAAAGACCTGAGAGCGTGAAGGTGAAGAACCTCCACTGTTAGAAGTCGCTGCCAGGGAACGGCTGATGAAGGCACAGCAATCTGGAAAAGGCTTATTGAGTGTTGGTGTAATTTTAATTTGTGGAGATTAGCGGTGCGCTGTATTTATTTGTAGTTCCGAGTGGTGTGTATAAGTGCTTAATAAATCCATTCATCCAACCAAACCCCGTCTATAGTCACACCCCTAAATCCTGACGATATTGCAGAATGAAGCGAGGGTCTTCCAGATTGAACCGAACGCCACCTACACGAAATATAAGGACAGCCCACATGTGCCTGGTAGGTCGTTCAGTCAGACTTCCCACGTTGGATACATCTCCCTCTGGACGCCCATCCTTGAAGCGAAATCCAGATAATTACAACTCAGTCCAATTCAGATTATATAGGAAAGTAGCCTTTTTATGCTATGCTATACAGGTGTCTGGTTTAGGTGTTGATTTTATTTTCTGTTAGGTCCTATTGCTTATTGAGAAATTTTTGCCTGCTTAAATATAATGTCGATACTTGTCGAATGTAAGGAGCGGGGTAGTGCAGTCGGTATAGCGGCTGGCAATGGGCTGGATGACCGAGGTTTCAGAGTTCGAGTTCAGGTAGGGTCAAGAATTTTCTCTCCTCCACGTCGTCCAGACAAGCTCTGGGAACCACCCGACTTCCTATCCAGAGGGTTACCGGGGGATCTTTCTCCGGGGGTAAAGAGGCCGGGGCGTGAAACTGACCACTCACCTTCAGCTAGTGCCGAGATCAAGAAAATGTGGACCTATGCATCCACTCCCAATACGTCTTCATGATATAAAATTTACTGTCTTTTTACCTTTATCTTACTTGTTGGATATAAATGNGCATCCACTCCCAATACGTCTTCATGGCATAGTGCTTAATTATTTAAGCACAAGGACAAATTTACTGTCTTTTTACCTTTATCTTACTTGTTGGATATAAATGTTTATTGGTCTTTGTCTTTTTTGTTATTTCAAAAGTCGATAGACTATGTTGTATTATCGATTTTGAAACATTTTCTTTTTTTAATTTGACTCTTCTCTTTTGGCTTATATTTTGGTTGGATTCCAATTTCATAGACTCTGTTCGTTATATTACGCATGGCCATGGATATTAAGTCTCATGTATGTGTCGTTTAAGAATTTCGTCTTATCTCTCGCAGATATTTTGTGTTGCATGCGGTTTATATATCCTACCTTGTGTTGGTTATGACTTTTGGAGAGATCTATCGATTGGGCCTAGCTGAGTAGGCTTCTTACCTGAGGATAAGGTAGAGTCCACTCTCCGAAACGTTTTAAATAAAAAAGAGAATGACCGATAATGTTTAAGAAGTCAACAAGTATAGTGATGTATCATCATCACGATCATTTAAATCTTATTTATATGCGAATAATCAGCAAGGCCTTCATACTGTGCACAGCATGCATAAACTCTGTTAAAAGAAACACACTTCACATTGGCTCTACAAAATATGTGACAGATGTAGCATGAGGTACTCCATACCTTTGACAGTGAGGAAGACGGCGAAGTTGAGCTTGGGATCTGTGTTCACTTGACATTCGTATTTCCCCTGATCCCGCGGCTGTGCGCTCATGATGCGTAAAGTCCACACTTCTGAGCCCGGCGCGTGTAGCACTTCAAACCTAGAGTCAGACGTGTAGGTCAGCGTGCCCGAAGTCAGGATGTGAAGGTCTCGTGTTCGGATCCATGACACCTGTGCAACAATTCATGTGCGACATATAACATAAATTACAACAGCCTGCAGGATAGGAAGTAAGTGAATCATGGATGAGTAGTGTTTATGAAGACTATTGATTTCTGTGAAATGGCGCTGTGCGTGTAATAAACACTTACCGACGTTTCGAAAGAACGTTATTTCTCCATCGTGAATGTAAAATACTATCCAGATAATGCAGCAGAATGTTCCTTCGAAACTTCGTTTAACTTCTACCAGACTTCAGGACTTCATATTCCAGAAGAACCTAACCTCCATAGCCACCGCTTGGAGAACCTCAAAATCATGGAACTCGTTCGATAATATATTCTGCCTTGTACAGATTATTTTTGGAGCTGAGGGACGTGAAGCTGACCACTCACTTCCATCTACTGCCGAGGTCAAGAATGGTGGAGCTTAGCAGTGAGGTATCACCAATGCAGTATAGTAGTTCAGTTATAAAACAGTCTCCCAAATTTTGGCTACGTTATCAACGCGGAAGTGTAAAGTGAGCAGCTACACTGGAAACATATTATTAAAACGTAATAATTTATTTTTGGTACGCAGTAGCGTAGTTGGTTGAGGCAGTATGCTATAAGTCGGAAGGTCGCGGATTCGAGTCCCGATGAGGTCATTGGATTTTTTTCAATTGAAGTAATCCTTCCAGCCACACTATGGTTTTGGGGTCGACTCAGCCTCTAACAGAAATGAGTACCAGGAATCTTCCTGGTGGGTAAAGGACGGCAGGCGCGTAAGGCTGACAACCTTACCGCCAACTGTGATCCTATTTTATAGAGGAAATGTGGGAGCCTCGACGTCTCACAACCCTATGAGCCTTCACGGCCTGTTACAAGGATAGCTTAATGATTTAATTCATTATGATTAGAGAGAACTCAGTCGGTATACCTATAGGATACGTGCGGGAGGACTGAGATTCAATTCCCGGCAGGAACAACTGGTTTTTCTCTTCTCCATAGCGTCTAGACCAGCCCTGGTGCTCGTGCAGCCTCCTGTCCAGTAGATACCGGGAGCCTCTCCTCGGGTGTAAGTGAAGGGGGCGTGAAGATGACAACTCACCTCTATCTAATGTTGCTGTCTAGAATGGTGGAGCTAGAACTCCACTCCGCATATGTCCTCATGGTGTCGTGCTTAATTAATTCAACACAGGAACAGCTCTACCTTTACGTTTAATTGAGTTCATTTCCTGCCTAAGTAAAATTCGCTTAGTGGGGGATGGAGTCCGACTGGGTCCACTCGGCACGGCGGCCGCTGATTGACCTATTGTAGCCTGCCCCGGGTGATTATGATGATGGAGAATTTGTTGGAATTAAGATTGGCAGGGGAAACCGAAGTACTCGGAGAAAACCCGCTCCAGGACCACTTTGTCCACCACATATCCCATTTGACCAGACCCCGGGATCGAATCCAGGCCGCCGCGATGGGAAGCCAGCGACTAACCGCCTTAGCTATGGTGCGACCTCCTGCCTAAGTAGGTGATCCAACCAAAATAATAAGCAACTAATCAGGCTTTTCGTGGACCACGACCGCCTTTTCCTTCCAAATCTTTTGCAATTAATCATTCATCAAGCATCCCACAAATTGATGCTCTATAGTCTAAGGAGGGGCACTCTATAGCGTAGTTGGTTGAGGCACTATGCAACAAGCCGGAAGGTAGCGGGTTCAAGTCCCGATGAGGTCATTGGATTTTTCAGTCGATCTAATCCTTCACCCGCACAATGGCCCTGGGATCGACTCAGCATCTAACAGAAAAGCGTACTAGGAATATTCTTGGAATGTTCTTGGATGTGAAGGGCGGTCGGCACGTAGGGCTGACAACCTTGCCACCTTCTATGAGCCGATATTCTAGAAAATGTGGGAACCTCAACATCTCACAACACTAGGGGCCCCCACGGCCTGTTACATAGATAGTTTTACATTTTTACTTCATAGTCTAAGGACCGATCGAGTCTCTTCTTTACTTCTACACATATTCTGACCAACCAAAGTGTAGAATGGTCAAAAATTAGTTAACCTGAAACATTTTTTCATCCAGACGGGAGTGTTCAGAATTAAACCTGTCAGCTCAGTCTGTAGAACGGTCTCACAGCATTGAGAGGTGTGCACTGAACATGGAGCATATGATTTCGAACAATTTTTATAAGATCAGTAAGTACGAGTAATAAAGTAATTTATAACTTATTTTATTGTACATTAGTAATAAGTTAACTGACTTTTGGGCAATTCGGTGCAATTAAACTCCCTCTCGATAACAGGCTTTTACATAACAAATGTTTCAATCTCAGAACAAATGTTTTATGATTGTTATTTAACGACGTTGCGGGGGATGTTACGATGACTAATCAATTTGGAGCAATTGGTAAAATTAGAATTGGTAAGTGAAACTAGAATACTCGGAGAAAATCGATCCTATTACCAATTTCTTGACCACATGTCCCACATAACGTGTCTTTTTTACACGGTAAAAGGTAAAGGTAAACTTGTTCCTGTGCTTAATTAATTAAGCATTACGACATGAAGATGTATGGAGGAGTTGATTTATAGATCCACATTTTTCTTAACATAGGCACTAGCTGGGGGCGAGTGTTCAGCTTCACGCTCCGACCGCTTTACCCCCAGGAGAAAGAGCCCCTCTACGCATTGGGTAGGAGATTGAGTGCACCCCAGAGCAGGTCTGGACGACACGGAAAACAGAAAATTCTTGACCCTACCGGGACTCTGAACTTTTGGTCGTCCAGCCCGAATCCACTCGCTATACAAACTACTCTATCCCGGTTCATACGAGAATACAAGGATGATTTAAATTTTAAATCCAAGACTTCTTTCATTTCTCAATCAAAAACCGGTACTACGGTGCAATATAAAAATACCAGGACAGTTCAGACTAAGCCGGGATGTATGATCGGTCTACTTCTGGGACCTCATATGGGTGCTCAACATAATGTTAATACATAATTTAAGAACAGTTACGAATTAAAACCACTCTTTTATGAAAATTACTGTATTTTCCGAAGTGACATCTATTATTATGGCAAATATTTACTGCCGCTTCGGGGGCCCGTGCTGCCTTTATTTTCAGGATAGTCTGTACAGACACAGGAACTATATTCCTTAGAAATATTGGTATATATCTAGCAGCCTACACGACACTGTATCCCAGAAAACACAAGACCTAATATCTCATAACTGATGTCTGTTCCATCAGCATGGGTTTAAGTACTTAATATATGGAAATGACAATCTGATTATGTAGTGTACCTAGAAAAGTACCAGTGAAATGTAGCATGAAAAATCAACAGGAAAGTTAGACAGTTCCTCCTCTAGCTTCGGTTTCTGTAGATAAGCTTTCCATTGTTCTACCCTCACACATCATACCCTTTGAACCCACTACTTCACTCAATTTGCACGCGCTGAATCTGAAGAGGTTCTGGAAAGACAGCTTGATAACAGGCAGAACAGTTATGGTCCGGAGTTTCCTGTTTTCGATAAAGGTTAACACTGTAATATTGACTGAAACAGTTGCTAATTGCTGCCGGCCTCTGGTAATAACGCAACTGAGGACAGCTCTACATAAGTTTTCCAGAGAAATGATGTAATGACAAAACGACAGACTGATAAACACAGCCATGTTTACGTAATTATACACGCATGTGGGCGTAACATTTTTAGTATGACGTTTAACGAAGATGTCAGAGTCGAAATCATATAACCACGATGATAGGATGATTAATGAATGTGTAAGCACTTGGTGCAATGAGATCTGGCAGGGAAACCGGAGTACTAAAAGGAGACATCCCAGTGACACTTTGTCTATGAGAAATCACAAGAGATCTGACATGGGATCGAAATCAGCGGTTTGAAGCCAGCGACTCTGTAACTTTTTAATGTAAGCCAGATTTACAGGTAAACTGGCTTTGTTTACTCATTCTTGATGAAAGTAACAGTGGAAGTTTTTCTTCCTCAGTATGCATGAAATGTTCACCAAATCGCAATATGGCGTGTGTCTTTGTTTCACACGAAATACAGTATTTCGAATTCAAAAGATAAAGACACATTAAATCAATGTGTAAAAGTGTTACAGCACTAGTCTGGCATCAAACCAAAGCAAACAACAGCTTTTTGTTATGGAAGGGCCATTAAACATGAGGTGAACAGGAGAGCCTGTCCGCTGCCCTGCCATCTGCATCGTCATCTTTGTACCAGCCATTCTAAGAGAGAAATAAACAGTAATTTCCGGTGCTTGTGTTCCCATCTACCCCCACCCTTACACTTATAGTGGGCTGATGGGAAATCTGACAAATAAATAGATTCGTTCCACACTTTGCACCGTTCATGAATTATGGGATACGGGCCTCTACACTCTATTCAGAACGTAGCAACAACGAGTCGTTCTTTACGGCCGTCAGAGGTAGGCTGAGGCATGAACACAAAGAGGATATGAAAATAAATGGGGAAATAACAGATGAATGGCTTTGCGTGTATCGGAAAAGTAGCACAATTCAGTATTACTATTCGGCTTACCTTCAATGAGAGGAAAGGATAAACATTCTTCTGAAATCCTGGCGCAGTCAGGAACCAACACTGTACAGTCAGTTAACACCATGGTGTTTATTTTACTCATAAATTTACTTGGCGACGACCCGCATCTCAGACTCTATGCACTATAGCTTTCGTCGAATGGACGATACTTATTTCTGTATTCGGAATTCTGCTAGTTACTTCATAACAGGCATTATGATAACATAATTATGAAAACTAAAGAAAACATTGAACACAGGCAATTAAGTGGGTTTGCTCACAGTTGAAGAATGAAATGAACTTCCTGGCAGCTCAATGGAAGAGAAGCTCAAGTACGGAATGACAGTGTACTGCACTGTAAAGGTAAGGTGAAGTTGTCTTGTACTTAACTAATTAAGTATTACACCATGAAGGCGTATGGGGGATGGATGTTTATATCCACATCTTCTTGACTTAGTCACTAG